CAGACGGCGGCTGCGGGGTGGGACATGGACTGTGGGATAGGACAGGATACCCGGCGCGGGACATGGAGCTGGGGTGGGAGAGGTCCCCAGGGTCAGGTAGGGTCACTAGGCATCAGGCCAGACCCCCGTGGTAGGACAGTGTATCTGAAATCGAAGGGTCCCTGAAATTGGAAAGTCCCCAGGATCAGGCAGGGTCCCTGGTGTCCATCAGGGTCCCCAGGGTCCAATAGGATACCCAGGGTTGGGCAAGGTCCCTGGGGTCAGATAAGGTCCCTGCAGTCAGGCAGGGTCCCCAGGGATCAGACCAGAGCCCCGTTGTAGGGCATTCCCTGAAATCAGCAGGTCCCACAGGTCAGGCAGCGTCCATGAGGTCTGACAGGGTCCCCTGGGATCAGATAGGGTCCCCAGAGATCAGGCCAGACCTCTGTAGTAGGACAGTATCCCTGAAATCAGAGACTTCTCAGGATCAGGCAGGGTCCTGGGAGTCAGAGGAGGTCCAGGGTGGGACAGTGTCCTGGGGCTGAGGTCAGATCAGGTCCCAGGAGCAGCAGGACAGGGAACAGGGTGCAGAGAGGCGAGAGATGCTCCACAAAGCTGGCATGGAGCAATGCCCAGGGCTCACGTGTAGCCACATGGCTCCCACAGCCACAGCGATGGCTCCTGGCCATGGGGTGCTCTCTGGACAGTGGATTTCAGCAGAGGGGTGATGCCATTCCATTCACCCAAGAAAAACAGCTGGGGAATGGTCTTCAGTGGCAGAACTGGTTAACACAACTAGTCACGCTCAGAGCTATTGTTCTCCACTGGTATTCAGCTTTGCAGACTTCTGCAGCTATTTCAGGCCTGCTGGAGGGCTCATGTACCCAACAGCCTGCCTGGTTTTTCTTCTAATTATTTCAGTCAGTCTAAAAAAAGACATTACCTCCCTCTGCAAACCTTACCTCCATTGTTCTCAGCAGAGAAAATAAGAGGGAAAGGAGAAGAAAAGTCTGACATCCTCTACCTCCAGGTTAAACCCTCTTCTGCATAGGTGTGGCAAGCGCTGGGAGGAAAAACAGGAGGCAGCTTCTGCTAACCAGAGGTAGAAGGGATAGCAGAGCATCCATCAGGGCTGGCTACCCCCATCCTGCAGGGCCAGGGGTTAATGGAGGAGCTGGGAATCACCCTGGGACACACCAGGACTTGAAATGAAAAATCCTGGTGCTGTCAAGACGCGTTGACAGGAAAATGATTGCCATGTCAGCAGAAAGATATCCCACATGGGAGGGAGCAGCTAATAGCTCTGCTGGGTTTTGACAAGAGGCTGAGGCACCAAACACACTCAGAAAAGCAAACAGAGGACAGACAGGGTCTAACTGGCTGTCACTGGTGTGAGTGGGGAGAGAAGATGGAGAGGGGGAATCCATCACACTGACCACCATGGTTGGGGCATTGCCCACACACTGCACTCACCCTCCTTCTCCTCTCACCTGCAAGATTTTGGGGCAGGACCCCCCCAGTTTGCTTTACTTGCACAGGGCTGCAGGAGCAGCAGGGGCAAAGCCAGAACTGAAGCTCCTAAGAGAAACTACACACAAATAATTATTAGTGATAATTAGCAAAAGCATACTGATGACATCTCCTTCCTATCAGCTTAGCTCTGGGTTTGGCAAAGGTTCTGGTCTCACTGAGACGTCCTCTTGTTGTGTAAACACCTTCTGTGGCCTCCCCTGCTTCTCCTCCATGGTCAAGAGCCAAACTGGGCAAAGAAAATGCTGCCGTGAATGTCAGTGATGGCATGGAGGGGCCTGGCCAGTAGCCAGAAGGGTTGTGAGCATCCTTCAGATTCTTCCTTTACCCAGCACAACAGGCACCTCTGAGAGAGATGACAAGAAAATCATCATTCAGAGCTGTCACCAAGCCAGGGTTAGCTCTCTGCTGCCTAAGACCAGGTGAGAGCTGGTTTAAAAACATTTTCTTGTTTGATTTGGGGTTTTGGGTGGGGAGTGGGAGCATCCCAGCTCACCTACAGCCTTCTCGGTGGGAGTGTGAGAGCAAGACAGGGTGTCACAGTGCTGAGTTTGGCTCCAGGATGGTGCCAGACATCACAAAATGAACAACTGAAGAAAGGTGATAATTTAGCCAGCCTTTTAAAATGACCGAAAAAAGACTCAAAGTACCAGAATGTTGTTCAGTAATCTCTGTTTTCCCGGCAGGGCTGGGGGAGGTGAGGGGAAACCTCTGGCTGCACAGATAGGGTGTGGGCTGTGGTTCCAACTCTTCTGGAAAATTTTAATCGGTCAAAAAGTGGAGAATATTTTTAGCATGCCATCAACGTGCATGTGAGGACATGTGTGCTGTAAAAGCATGTGCTGCAGAGGCCACATCCCTGGGATTTATCAGCTATCCTCACACTTGCAGGCAGACCTGGAGAGACCCACTGTGATCCCACCAGCTGCTGCAGGGAGACCTGTCATATATAAGAGGATGCTCAGCGCAGAAGAACATGGAGGTTGGGCCAAAAATGCTACAAGGAGAGGCTTTGGGCACCTGTCTGCAGGCGGGTTGGGCTGCCCTGTTGTCTTCTTCACTGATAAGAGATGGTGGAATGCTGCTGCCACAAAGTCAAACAGAGTCACGAGTGACGCCAGGGAGGGTGGGCTGGTGAGTCACAAACTGAAGAAGTTTCCATGCAAAGGGACCCGTGAGTCCTCCCGTTCCACACCTCACTGTCAGCATTTGGGGTCTGGGAAAACTTGGGAGGCAGGATGCAGAGGAGGATGGGGGTGCCAGGTGCTCTGCCTGCAGAGACACATCTTCCCCAAAGCCACTCAGGGCTGAGACAGGACCAGGATGGGTGGGGAGTCCCTCCTGCCATGCCAAATGTGGGCAAACCAGTCTCTCCAGCCACAGACACCACATGAGAAAGCTGTGGTTGCCCTCGTGTCTACCTGCCATCCTTTCCCTGCTCCAGGCAGGGAGCTCTGGCTCCTGCATCCAACCCAAGGTACCTCGTGACCAGGGTCAGCCACTCCACCTGCTCTTGCCTTGGTTTTCCTCCACCTCAAATGGCAGTAACCCATCTCCGAGGTGCTGTGTAGCCAAGTTCATTAGTGCCTGGCTTCATTAATTGCTTTCAGCAGGGCTGGAAGGACAGAGACTCATTATGGCAGTTGCCCTGTTATCTGCTCATCTTTGGGGAGGAGGAGGTGGACATGCTGGTGAGGCTGGACAGCAGTGCTGGGCTCACTGTGGCCACAGGGCTCCTGCTCTGAGCTGGAGAAGAAATCCTCAACCCCTTCACATGCACAGCAAATTAATGTGGATGCTCTTAATTTCATCTATTTGGTTGGGGCTAAAATAAAGAGGCCCAGAAAAAGTGCTGAATCTGAATGGATGCTCAAGGGTAGGGCTGAATTCAGGCTCTTGATGCCAAGTAGAGCCCATGGCACCTTCTACTCACAGCTGCAGTGTGTTTGTGGGGATAAACCATTTCTCAGGCGGAGCACAGTCCTCTAAAATAGATGTGCTAGACAAGAGCCGTGAAGGTGGCCATATCCTTGGGTGATGCACAGGGAATTAACAGCTGCAGAGGCTAAAGGAGATGGGAGACCACAGATAAGGGGCTAGCATGGAAGAAGGGCTCTCCTCACCTCCCTGTCTTCTTTCTGGGTTTAAATGCTGTGTTTCATGGACAAACCATCTGAAAGGTTGGTGTTTACAGTCACAGTCCCTACTGCAGCAGGGCAATCGGAATTAGCACGCCTGGGTTGGGGTTTGTCCAGGAACTCCTGACCTGTCAAAGTCCTGGTTCTACCTGTTTTCCTCTTGACTGATACTAGTCCAAGGTTCTGCCCAAACCAAACCCAGGCTTTCCAGCCACTCGTGCTCCCTATTTTAGTTACATGTTTGAAAGAGAAGACCCAGCTATCTGCCACAGCCATCAGCCTGCAAGTGCCTGCAGGAACTCGTGTGCTCTCCCTGCTGATCTTGCTGGTTTTGTAAGGAAAAGCAGTCCTGCAGAGGACATCTGGTGCTCACAGGAGGGACAAAGCAGA